TCCCTTCCAGCCCTAATGTCTATGAAATCTATGAAGTCCTGATTCAGAGACTGAACTTGTAACTCCCTTGCTCAATAAATACTGATGCCCCTTTCCTCCAAAATTTTGTCCATCTCTTTTTGGAATCTGGCTAAACTGTCAACATATTGCAGGAATGAGTTCCACACTTTAATTATTACTGTGTGGAAAAGAACATCCTCGAATTAGGTTTGCTTGTTAGATCCTGGAGTAGACAGTCTCATGTTATGTGTGTTACAAAACGTCATCACACCCATGTCATCACATGACTCCAGAGTTGTGTGTCATATGCTGGGGCCTATTGTGGCTAGTAGTTAATCAAAGCTTACTGCCCACCAGTGGCTGCTTACATGAATTCCTGCATTTGCATCATTGTTGATTATGATGATCATGATGGAACATCTAGATGCCCTGATCATGGACCAGGATCCCATTGTGCCAAGTACTGTACAAGCACAGAACAAAAAGTTGATCCCTGCCCTGAAATGGTTACATGCTAAAGCTTAAGACAACAGACAATGGATGGATGAAGATGGGTTGATGAGACAGTATAGGGCAGGGATCAGCAACATTTTTGGGCTGAGTGCCAAAAACTCCACAACCTGAACTTTAAAGATGTTGGCAGAGCGGATTTTGCGGGGGGGAGAAGCTGATTCTTGTCATGGCAACACAGCCCCAACCCTTTTCATGCCATGCCCTCCGAGGTGCTCGTGCAGCCGCTGCCAGAAACAAGCTTGCCTGGGGCTCTGGACCCCAGTGCAGCCCCTTACAGCCTTGTGCTTCCTGCTGCAAGTAGCCTGGACTCTGGGCAGGCCCCTGCTGCCTGCCTTGGATTGTTTGTAGTAAGTGGCAGGAAGGCTGCAAACAGCTGCACTGGGGTCTGGAGTCTTGGCTTGGTTCTGTGGTGGAGGCAGTTGCACATATGCCTCAGGGTGTGTGATGGAGAAGGGGCCGGGGTTGCACTGCTCCAGGCCTCTTCCACACCATGCGTCAAGGTGCATGTGGAGCTGCCAATGCCCACAGAGCGGGGCTGGGGATCCAGATCCCAGTGCACTGATTGCAGCCTCCTGGCTGCCAGCCACATCTGGCCCAGGCTCTGGGC